GAAATAGAATGTATAAATTAGGTTGAAGTATAGTTTTATTAGTTGCCAGAATTATTCCATCTATTATTACAGTAAAACAAAACTATAAATAAACGTTTATAAAAAAAAAAAGTGCTCTTACAGAATGAGCATATATGACTAGTACGCGTTTGTACGTTTATAAGTTTTAATCTACAGTTTTTTCAAAAATCGTAGCTTTACCAACCTCGTTCTATATTAGGCATAGCGATATGCTTATATTGTATCAGGATGCATCTGGTACTACAAACATCATTTAACATTAAATATAGATGCCCCCTAAATAATTTAGTTATATATAGATTTATATTTTATATTAAAGATATAAGATTTAAATATAAATATATTATATAGTATATATATAGTAGTATTATACAATATATGTAAAGAATATACAGTATATATTAGTTTTCGTGGCATGAAGGGCTTGTTAGTATGTGGTCTATCATGAGCATTGAATCTTTCTCAGTATCACCGTCAAAATTTTCGCTTTCACGTGACAGTGTTTTGATGCACAAAAAAATCTTTAAATTTGTTTAAAGTTAGTGCTTACAATAAGGTTAGACATTAATGGGAAATATAGTGAAATTGCTCAAGGAAATTTTTTTGTTAGAGTGCAAACGGGCGTTTTTATGCAAATTTTTGAGAAATAAATGATTCTTGAAAAAGCAAATGTTTTGTTTTGGTCTTCCTGAGTGTGTAATGTTATATCAAAGTAAGGCTTGCTATTGGAGAAGCCACTATAGATCCTCATGTGAAAGTGAAAATTTGACAGCGATACTGGGGTAGTTAGAGCATTGATCGGTTTGGGGTAAATCGGAGAATGTAATTCTCATTTACGTCATATTAAAGTATATAATATAAGTGATCAATGATGTAATAATTAATTTAAGTTAAATATGAGGTATATAAGTAAGAGAAAAAAAAAAGTTACTTTTTACTTTCGTTCAAATCAAAGCGATATACTGTATTTAATCAAATATCTTTGCATTAAGCGTTGCTGATCAATTATACCTTGCTAATAAATAATTTCGTGGTATAATGGGAAGCACAGGCTTAAGCTACGTAGTAGGCAGTGCAACTATATAGGATTAGGTTAGCGATTTTATGGTATATATTTATTAATCAGTTTGTAAGGGAAGCAGAAGTCTGTGTAATTGTTAGATTAGGCTCCTAAAATAGGTAACTTAAATTGTATATGTGGTTTATTGGCTAGAAGCATCAGAAAAAACTAAAATACGTAGTATAGAAAAATTTTCATTACGGAAATATAAGTACCGGTAATCAAAAATATATAGTTCTTACATTGGCATATGGCTGCAGAGAGTACTTAAAAAATACGGAAGGAAGTAAAAGGATGTAATAGTTATGCATTGTATAACAATAATAGTGCATAAAAGAAAAGTAAGATGTATTATAATACGTATTATGTTCTTGATTATTGAACCTAGCTGCTGCACCAAATTTGTCACGAATTGGGCACGCATTACATAATTTTGGCCGGAATTAACTTTTAACTTTTTCATTCGCAAAATGGAAATTTTTGGAGAAATAGGCCTGCATAATAATAAAATTAGCCCAGGAATATTTTTTACTTAATGTGCAGTTGTGGTTTCATTAGTAAAATTTTGAGTAACTTCGGCCTAAATTTTTGATCGTTGCTCTTAGCCAATCAAAATTAAGGTTCATCCGTGACAAAATTGGTGCGGCAGCTAGGTCCAATTGTATAATGTTTTATTTTGCCTTTTGGTTAATACGATTACAAAATGGAGAAATTATTCGAGTATTACATTATGTATGTGAAAATACTTCACAATATACAACATTATCTGTGTGACAATAATTTAACGTTATATTTGAATCATTAGATGTAAGAATTTTAATGGCACGGTGGGAAGTAACTCTCGATAAAGCGACGTATAATTGACCATGTGAAAAAACTGGTTTTGGTAGATAGATACCAACTTGATTCAATGTTTGGCCTTGTGCTTTGTTGATGGTTATGGAAAAAGCAGAGCGTATCAGAAATTGGCGTCTTGTTAAAATGAATAGTAATTTGGTATCAGAAGGTGATAATGGAATTCGAGGTATAAATACATGACTACCGATATGGGATCCTGTGATAATTTTAACAATGATTACTTTGCTATAAAGAGCTTGACAAATTAAACAGGTTCTATTGCAAAGTCCTTCTGCTGGATTTAAGTTATGCAGAAGCATTATAGGTATGCCAACTTTTAACTTTAATTGACCAGAAGGAAGGCCAGAGATTTTTAAGGATCTTAAAAATTCAGGCAGGTATAGATGAGAGTAGTTTATATTTCTGTCATCTGCCGAATCTGTGGAGTCTGCGCTGGAATATATAGAAATTGGGCCAGGGAACTGATCTATCATTAGATCAGAGATTACATCAACATCGTTGTTTTTTGGAGTTAGTATAGCTCTTTCAGTTAAATAATTAATATTATTAGAGTTCTGGATGAAATTCGGATAAACACAATTAATAAGATCTGATAACATTCCACCAGCTACGACTATATCAGAAGGGAGTGTTATTCTATTTTCTATATCTGCGACGATCGGGTACGTTCCATCTCCTATTTGTAAAAGAAATTTGGCAAATTCTCTTTGCCTCTGATTTTTATTAATATCATTAGTTTGCTGAAGTCTCATATTAATTGTTAATTTCATGACTTTCATGTGACTCCATAATGAAGAGCGGGGTAAGCTAGCTGAAACAATATCTGCGCGGCAGCCATGAGGTACGACAGGTAGTACTTGACGAAAATCACCACCAAAAACAATTATCTTTCCCCCAAATGGTTTATCTACTTGCATAATATCACGAACTGTATGATCAAGGGCTTCAAATACAAACTTATTAGTCATTGGAGCCTCGTCCCAGATGATAAGTTTTGCGATGCTAATTAAATAAGCTTCTTTGCTGTTTGTGAAATGTTACAGATAGAAGATTCATTAGGTTTAAGTGGAATTTTGAAACGACTATGGGCTGTTCGTCCACCTTTTATTAAAAGTGCTGCGATTCCTGAAGAGGCTACTGCCAAAGCAATGTAGCGACGTGACCTAATACTTGCTAGTAAAGTGTTATATAAAAAGTTTTTTCTGTGCCACCTGGTCCATCTACAAAAAAAGATTCTCCTTCTTCATTGTTAATTGCTCTCGTAACGGCATCAAATATTGCATGTTGATCATCATTTAACAAAGGTACGTTATATTGTAATTCAGTTTCTAAGTCTGTTATATTATAGAATCTCTCTTCACATATTAAGTGATTTAATACTTCTTCATTATTACTAATAATTGAAGTGATAGAGGGAATTGGCATATCAAAAAAATCATTTAGAGATTTTCCACTTAGTAAAAGTATATTTTCTAATTGAGTAAGGGCTTCATATTCAATTACAGCAGGGATATCATTTGTGTCATCGAGATTTTGTAATTGCACATGAGCTCGATATAAAATATCCTCACACAATGCTACTTTATGATTATTTCATAACAACTCAGGTTTCACTGGTTAGCAAAATAGAAGTATAGATGCAAAAAGCTGTCGAAGTTGATGTCCTGTCTGTACAGAACTTGCTTTAAGCAAACAGGCATCCCATTTAGTATCGTCTTGAAGAAGGCCAAGATAAGAGCAAGCTTCTTTGAAGCTACTACATATATAGCTGTTAATAGTTTTTAGGTCATCGAAACCGGTCACACCTTTTACATGGGTAAGTAAAGTTCATAGATAATATCTCTCACCTTCAGAAGGTTGTACCATGTAAAGTCATCCAATCATAGTCATTGATATTTTTCTAGGTGTCCATTTACAGCGTGAAGAATTCCAAGTATAATAAGAAGGAAAGTCGACGTAGATATATATATGTGCCGTCAGGTTCTCTATATTCTCCTGAAACCAAGCAGTCAAGGTTGTCATACAATTTTGATTACAGTTGGTGACATTCTGAAGATTCTCTTCATCTTGAAATGTAATACGTTGACGTCTATCGAGATGGACAGCAAGCCTTTGTACCTTTGGACTATGGTTATGCAATTTATAATGAAAAATTCTCCAGATACTTTCTGAAGCTGAAACATATCTTGCATCCAGGTACATTTTGATTTCATCAATCTGAGCAACTTCAGGTGAAAGTTGTTAATTATTAGCTTGGTTGGAATGGGCAAACGTAACGGTCGCTCGATTATGCCCTTTATATACATATTTATATAGGTATTTAACAGCCTTTATACAACTGCAAATTTCAATGTTAATATGAGCATTGTATTTTGTGCATAATTTGACGTTATGCGGCACAACCCATGTATTGTCAAATTGAATTCCATCTTTAATAAAACGTGCATTGTTTTGTCTGCGGTAAATAGGGTATCCACTATCACTTTCCAAGGTATGCTCTTGAAAAGTTTTAGAATAATGTTTTGTACAGGCACCATCTTTCATACACGGTATATTAGGCTTTAATAAACCACATGGACCATGTATCATCATGGTTGTTACTGTCTCATAGACAAGTGGATATGTGCGAATGTCAGAGATTTTAGCAGAGACAATGGAGTCATAATCTTCTGTTGTTCGTAATTTGTCGTCTGGAGCAAGGATTAATAGAATATAAGCATGGGGAAGACCACATTTTTGGAACTCTACTACATATATATATGCAATAACTTTATCAAGCCAATGGTTATTACACAAATCTTTTAACAGCATTTGTAATTTTACATGAAATATACGGGCTGTTAAATCAGGCCTATCAGCAGCGTTTTGAAGAGGTAATAATTCTCTGATAACTTCTGGCCATTTAGGATTACATATAAATATGACAAAAAGATCTGGTTTTCCAAAGTGAGTGATAATTGCTATCGCATCTTGATATAACTGATACATTTGACGTGGTCCGCCTGTAAAAGATGATGGAAATATTATACGACGACCAATAGTGTTAATACAATCTCCAGCATGTACAGCATCTATAACACCTTGATAAAATTCAGCGCAAAGTGATTTTTGATTATGTTTAAAGTAAATTAAATGATTCTGTTCTATTTTAGCATACTGATCAACAATATACTGTTGATATAAGCGGCCAGCATGTTGTATCCAATCACCATTTCTAATCTGCAATCGATAGGAGCAAAATTGCATAGTTGTTACTTGTTCTCTTTTTAAAGCGTCTATGAGTGGTATATTTGTGTGCCACCCATCATCACCTTTAGGGAATAATAATACGTAGTGGAGTGGGTCATATGAAGGATGAAACTCTGATATTCTCTGCAAATTTCCATCACGCGTTCTAAGAAGAATGTCACGACTCGTTGAATTTACTTCATGACCATCATCTACTATTATTGCAGCTACATCAGAAGCTGTTGGAGTGTTATAACGACGAATGTCTCGATTTCTATCACTATGAATTATCATTGAAATTTCAGTGGTTACATTGTCTTGTATGAGATTTCTCATGTGCCGAAAATTTTGGATGTACAGGTTGCAGGTATCTAGCATATTCTGTAAATTCTGTAGAATGTTTTCATTTAATTCCTGCATTATGCTATGACGGTTTGTAATTTCATTTGCAGTATCATAAATATATAGTTGAGCAAACGTTGGTATGAGACCTTCATTTGGTAATAATGATCTGATTAGATGATAGACCTGGCCATGAATTCAAAATTTTGATATACCATGTCCCAAAAATTGTTTATCTACATTAGCACCAAAAAATGTGCAAGCTAAGGCACTGTTATAAGCTCTAACGTGTTTACGAAAGTCGATTGCATTAGAATTAGTTGAAGTATAAAAATTCAGTAGATAGGGTGGGGTTCAAGTAAAGGCAGTAATTGTACTTTGCCGCTAGTACAACAAAAAGAAAATTTCGGAGCAGCGTATCCACTATTTTGATCTTTTTCAATCATCCAAAATTTAGCTTTACAATGTCGACTGGTCTGATCCATTCTACCCATATCATGACGTTTAGTTTTATCACGGCAAGAACTTGGATTACTTTGAGTATTAGTTAACTCAAGATTAGTAATCGTAGGGACTTCGGTGGTAAGTAAAGGTGAGAGATCATCAGAATCAGATTCAGTATCTATAGCAGGAGTTTTAACTACAACTGTAGGGACTTTGGTATTAAGTAAGTATTGAAGTTCTTCAGAAACATCAATAGATAGGTGTGAGGTAGTTTCTTTATTATTATCTCTAAAGCATTTCTGGCGATCACGGTTGAGTTGCTTTCGTCGTTCTTCTGACGGTGCAGAATCAGAATCACTATTAATAACAGGAGTTTTAACCGTAGAGACTTCGGTGCTAAGTAAGTGGTGAAGGTCTTCAGAAACATTAATGGATAAGAGTGAGGTAGTTTCCTTATTCTTGTTTTTAAAACATTTTTGGCACTCACGGTTGAGTTGTTTTCAATGTTCTTCTAATGGTGCAGAGCTACTGGAAGGTATTGTTATATCTAAAAGACGAAAGATTACACTTAAAAGGCAAGAATATTAAAAGCTTTAATGGAGTAAATTCAAAATAATACACTAATAAAATTGAAAATTTGATATAATAATACATATAATTAGCAAAGTCAAAAGTCTCAGTTTAAATAGGTTTTGTTTATATGATTATTTTCGGGTCACGAAGTAATAAGAAGAATACGATTACATTTAAATTATAGAAATAGAAAAATATTAAATTCGCGTATTAGCGATAGGCTTTGATTATAACACGACTTATATAGAGTAGGGCTTAGGAGCAAAGACAATATCATAAATTTAGCATTATATAGGCAAGAGATTGAGATTAAAGATAAGATTATATTTATACAATGATAATAATCAGAACTTCATAAGAGTTGTAAAAAAAACTAATTATATTATACCGAGCACGTTTCCCTGATAGGCTTGAATATAATTACTTAATATAGTTGAAATTGTGGATTTGCAAAAAAGAAATTAGATAATTTTCTAATATGAGAGGGCAAAGGAAAGATTGTCATGAAAATAGATAGGACATTGCGATACATTAAGGATAGTTTTTAGGTAGATATTTCAGTTGTAAAGTTTATATTAGTTGGCAAATATGTAACGCATCAAAAAAAAACAATATTCATGTATAAAATTTAATGCTTTATTAAAACTTTAAATAAATGTATAATTGAAAATAGCAATAAATTGTGAAATCGTATTAGTAGTAAAAATCAACGTAATGTAATGCAAGTTTATTTAAGAATTTAGAGATAGTAAAGAAAAATAACAATGAGAAAGTTTATATTAAAGAACCAAAA